TGCTTAAATTGTTTGTAGAGACCGTCTTTCTCTCATCTTCAGTAATAGGAGGAAAAACTGCAGTAGTTTGACGAAATAACAAAGGTATTTTTGGGGTGTTTTTTTTGGCGTATCGGTTAACTATCATTTAATTTCTTCTCGCAGCTTGAGTCGCTGTTGGGCGAAGCGGTTTAGTTATCTACGAGTCTTTACCAAAGGGCGAAAGGAAAACCGTTTATCTAATTATTATAAAGATTCTAAGAGTCGGCATTGAACGAGTGCAAACCACTTTTGACAATAATAGCAAAAAATAATAACCTTTTCCGGCCTTTCATTCGCTTCAAAGTCATTTTTAACTTTTTATCGCTAAAATGTAAATTTATGCAGATTTTATATGTAAAGTGCTTTTTAGATTTAATACCTGTGATCGTCAGCTACGACTTTGATATATAGTGAAAAATAATTATTGGTAAAGCTTATTTAATATTGTTACAAAAAGGAACCGTAAAGGACAGCTCAAAGTTCATGAATTTCGGATATTTCGAGGAAATGTTAAAAAAAGATGGACATTCAATCGAAGAGAGTCAGATCTTATAAATTCGAAATTGTCATTATTTCATTGACAATATATTGACCAAAACATATGCGACACCAAAACCAAACTTTTATTACCGGATTGATACTTTCGGTAACGCAAATAGTTATTCTGTTATTTTTAAGTACCTATGACACAGGAACAACTCAAATTATAATATATTTTATTTGGACCTCTGTGGCTGACTCCGATGGCTTTCTCGAGCTAAAAATAAACCAAGCAACATGGTCATGTTTACAGAATTTACAAAACAATAAGAGCGACGAACACATAATACTGCAACACGTGTGCTCTATCCTAGCGACTGTTTCGTATGCACTTATGGTTCAATATAATTTTGATTTAATTATTTCTTGCAGAGATACATGATGATGTTCTACCATTCTTAGTCGATAATGATTAGATTCGGATATTTCCCAACTCATTCAAAATGTTGTTAATTTGCTTTTTGAAAGCAGAGGTTCCGGAAACTTGAACTCAACTGATTTCAGTACTTGTAGAAAATTTGCATTTTTAGAACGCCATTGTGCTCACGGCACAAAATGAAAACCAAACACAAACATGCTGATGGACATTTACGGCGACTAGGTTCAATAATACTTAACTAGTGTAGGTAGCTTGATTTTCAGATTTGTAGAAAATGATATATTTAGTACACTTTGAACGGTATATTTCGTAACTTTTGCTGAAAGACACTTCATCGCTTGTCGAATAGACGAGTCATTTGTTAAAAAGCCCTCGGGTAACTTATTGACATTATGTTGTCTATATTTTAGATAAATTTTAACGGAATAAAGTGAATATAAAAATGCTAAAAGATGTTAAGTTTTTTGCACTCATTTCCTAGTTGTCATTTAGTAAAAACATAATATATTTCGAAAAGAATTTTTTTTTTGCTTGGCAGATTATTTCAGAACTGGAGTTGTTGCGTAAGCAGAAGACTGTCTCCTATGATAATTTGAACGTTTAACTTTCCACTTTCTTGGTGGAGAAAGCTTAAATTTTGATCTTAGAGAAGTTGAGATTTTTGCGATCAAAAACGAATCGGGAATCCTTGCGATGTGTCTCAGTTGCAGACCAAGAGAAGTATGACTGACTGCAAAACTATTAATCTGCTTTCAGAATACACTTATTTTACTGAGCTGTTAAACCTTTCAGTGCTGCAAACCTAACTGAAGTGATGCCTCAAATGAGCCCAGTTTCTTCTTACAACTGACGTTCTCTCTTTAATTCATCCCTGAAAAAATTAACATAAGGATCTTCAAACACACATCTCGTTGTGCTAGTATGATAATAGATCTTGCACAATATTTTGTGAGACTTTTTGCCAGCGGCATTTAATTGTGACTTATACATACAATGAATTAATCCTGCAATTGCACAATTCTGTTCCTTTCTTTTACGAGTAAGAGCGTCTATTTGAGCAGAATATTTAAGAGGTCAGTTGCAGGTTACAGGTGGCTCCGAAGAGTTGTGAAATTTCGAAATAACATTACCCGTTAGTACGAGTCACTTTCAATAGCATGATCCATCGGTCCAAGGTGCAAGACTGTTTTTTTATTTTCAGATACTCTGTTATTTAAAGATAACATCAGCTCTTGCTGTCCATTCCGTTCACCGGTTTCCATAAAAAGTCGATCACTGAAAAGAATTCGAAGTTCACGTTTTAAAATGAAATTGAGTGTAACTCAGCTGAGCAATTACCTCAAAGTCTAAATTTCGACGTGTAACTTATGCAACAGCTAATACACACGAATATTCAAGCCAATCTACTTTTCCGTTACGTGACGAGTTGTCCAAACAGATGGCCATTGCGTGCACAAATGACAAGGCCTGCAAGATGGAAAATGTCATATCTTTTTACTAAAATTGAAAGTTAATACGCTGCGAGTGGCAGAAAGATCAATACGCACTACTGCTGCCTAGTAACTGCAGCTGTTTAGCACGCAAACGAGCATGATCATGACTAGTTCAAAAGAAACTACAAGGGTACTTCAATTTTTTACAAATTCTTGTTTCGCAACAGCTCTATGCTGAATTTAAACTGCGTGGATATCTAAAACGCCATTTGTTTCCTTTTTTTGTCGAAAGTGAATTGCTTTCGTATGGTTAAAATAAGCCGTACCCTTAATTAAGTTCCGCTTCGTTTGTTACCGAGCTACCTTTGGCGCTTTACAACGCATAAGTATAGCCGATGGGATTATTGGGGCTTTCAATACCTCTCTAAGGTTTTGCACAGATGGATAGCCAGTGACCAAGTTAGCAATTCAACTGTTACCAGAACGTAAACAATAATTTAAAGTCGACAATTCTGGCTGAAAAATTGCAAACACTCAGTCTGTGTCGATTTGCATGACTCCCTAGGCAGCAATCAGCCAATCTAGTGAGGACGAACGCCAATAATGGAAAGTTTCTACTTGAGCAGTTCCGGGGGAGTGCCCTTAACTGGAGTCGAACTCCATTCGCAAATTTGTGTTAGCATGGGAGGATGTTAAGGTAAACCTTTCAGAAAACGAAGAGTCCAGAGCGAAGAATAACTCGCAATCGCATAATAGCGATTTTATTCGATCTGACATCAAATTAATTTGAAAAAAGATTCTACTTACTAAGTGCAATCTCATAATTAATAGATGGAACCAGAAAGGCGAAGTAAATGCCCTCGAGAACCAAGAGAGGATGTAAGCAAACCAACGTGGTTCTTAAAACAAGCCTAAATACAAACGCTTTAAACCCCATTAGGTAACCGAGAAATCTAATCCTAACTTAACAGTTCAGTAATACTTTTCGGTTCACTTACATCTATGGCGAGTTTCTTAAATGTCCTTGAATGCGGCATACATAAATCCGGGCAACAGGTAAGCGGTAAAAGCTCTGATCATTTCAGTACGATTATCGGCATAAGAACTGCTGAAAACGAAGCTACTCAAATAACTTTTAACAAAGCGTGCACTGTTTGTGACAACTAAACGTAGAGTCCTTAAATAGTTCATTGTCTGCTTTAACACTTTCAATGTCGTAAAGACGAAGGAACCAGTCCCGCAGCCGATCTTTATGCACTTAAGCTGATCATAGGATACCGACCAGCTTGATCATCCTATTCTCGTACCTATGCGCTGCTGTCCTTCCTCAATAATTTATTGTAAATGTATTGTCTAGTCGATTCTTTTCTCTTACTTCGCTAAGCCTTTGATCCATGGTTATTTCCTCCAGAAAAAGATTTTCCTCCCTCCCCCCCCCCCCCTTACTCGTTTATAAATCTTAGCTGATCTTAGCTAATTAAGCGTGCGAAGCTATTTTGTTGTTTTACTAATTCGGTGACCTGAAATTATCTAAACGCAGTTTCTAAAGCAATAAGATTCAGAAAAAAAAATTGGCGTCAAGTTGGTATTACTAAAAGTCTACTCCGCAAAAAATGCCTTATCTTGTAGTTTCGAGAATGGAGCATTTAACGCCAATCACATACAAACCATTCAACCCTTTGTAGAACCAAACACTCGCACGAACATATGCTTCACAGTCATCGCCAGAGGCGCTCTCCATGATAGAAAGCAGGTTATTCCATTGTGTTTCATATTCAGGTAGTCTTACAAAAGATATTCTCGGCGGCCTGGGTGTCCAAAAATAGAGCTCACACCTTGATACTGCTTGGCATTGTGAAGGGAAATTATCAGACAGAATAAAATCAAAAGAATCAATGCGCTTCTCATAAGAAAATGATCCTGAAATGACAGTGTTAGAGCCACCTGTGTTCTGGTGCACGCGCAAATGAAACAGATGCTGAGCTTCACGAGAATTGAAGTACTGCTTGCCGCCTAGGAAGCCAGTACTTGACGCGATATCAATCTGCACGTGCGCGCAAGGAGCCGTTGCTTTTGTATGTCTCTGCAAAATCTCTCACGCTTAGCTACAGGATCTGCTACGCTTTAAGAAGGGATGGAAAAGGCCATTTGAAAAGTTATCAGGCATTTTGTTTTCTGTTATATCCTGATCTTGTTTGCTTTTTTCATCTTCTTGCTAGTCTGTATCAGACTCTCAGCAAGCGAAAACGCGCTAAAAAGCAGACCACTGCAAAAAGGAAAAGAAAAGCGTTTGTCAGAGTTAGATCTATTCTAGTCTATCCGTTGCAACAGGTCTCTCGAATAACTTGAACCTTACACAGCTACTGTCTTCCAAGCCGTCCGATAGGAAATATAAACTTGATTGTGTTTATAAGGGTTAAGATTTTAATGGATAATCTATTCAACAACATTTAAAGGGCCCTCGTGATAATTTAAAAGCATACATGAACAAAATGACTAAAAACTACAATAAATGTAAAAGACTGATATGGTCGACGTTTAACGTTGAAGAAAATGAACCCCTATTTACAAAAATCACACCAACAAGCGGCATTACGAATGTATTTCCCTTTAGAGCAACTCAGCGCTATCGTTTGGGTTTGCTTTATTACAAAACGATCCTTTCTCTCCCGTTCATTGAATACCATGACTGTTCACATCCGTGTCTGCAGTTGTTCAACCCAGGTAAGCCCTTGGGTAGAAGACCTATCGGCAGGAGGTCTGTCAACTTGTATTTATGGAATGGTTGATATATGTAACCAGTTTACTTAAAAAGTACACACAAAGCCGAATATAGAGAATTTGCATTCGCCTGCGTAACTGGCGTTTTGTGCCCTGTAAGTGACAAGGTGCGAAGCCGCGAGAAACGGTGAAGAGCACAAAAAACCGCCAGCTACTGACGCAAACTGTATTTACACACGTCAGAATAAAAAAACTTTGGAAGAAAAAAGGTTACCCTTAAATTCCCTTATAACCATTTACTGTTCATTTAAAGGCAGTTATCCGATTTGGCGCATTCATCAGCTGTGACATGTTTGGAGCCATGAATAACTTAGTTAATAACAACAAGAGTATAGATTGAACAAAAAGTAAACGTTTGCTACTGATTAGACTTCCTCAGAGTTCTTTTCTGTAAGTTCGTGCGCACCTCTTTTGCTCGCTCGCTCGCTTTATTTTTCGATTTAAGGAGTCTCACTATTTGAACGTGTAATCAGATTATCCGGTTGAGGGGATAAAGGCTGGATTTGTACCGTTTTCTTAGATGCGGCAATCGATCCTCACGAGAGGAGGAGTAGCGTGAACTGATTTTCCTGCGAGGAAGCCAAATGCAGAGCCACATGAAGCTCGTGATAACGTTCTCTCAGGTTCTTGAAACATGAGCTACTGCTACCAAAAAAATCTTCTTCAGGAAGACGAGCGGATTATTCGAGCGAATATTCCTACCTTAATCACTCCGTTTTCGTGACTACCCACGAAGTATCTTAATCAAATAAAAGTGCATCTCGCGGCAATTATTTACAAAAAAAAAAACTAAAATTAATCAGAACTTATAGGTTACACTAACTGAAAAAACTACGAAAGGGTTTCTCGCTTCAACTGGCTTACAATGTTGCACAAACAGAACTCTTCTTGGTGCTAGGGGAACCTTGTTTTTCTTGCGAAGTATTTGTTTGATTGGCAGCCGTCTGTTGTGGTTGCTGTTTCGAAATCGTAACTGTTTGTTCTTCTTGCCCGGTGTATTCCTATCAAAAAGAAAGTAATCTTAAAAATAAATAATAGATAAATAGATACAATTAATTAAAGAAAGTTAGAATGGACCAAATCAACCTTACTGTCTACATTGCAGGTTTTTACTCTTAGTCCTTGAAGCAGAAGATGTATTTTCACCCTTTAGACCCTTCAGCTTAATATCAGTGTCTATATTCTCCATACTCTTCTCTATACATTTCCTTTGGTACTGACAAGGAGAATTTAATTAACAATCAAGGGCTTCTCTAGTGGGTGATCATTTCCCTTATTCTCGAGGCCTTTATATGTCTGATTCAACACTGAGACTGTTAAGAGAAAAAAGATGTTACTCGCTCTCAAGGGGTTAAAAGGTTAAAGAAGCGCCCTGTTTCTCATTTTACGAAAAAAAGTACCTCAAATTCTGGCCATCGTGTTGGCATTTCAAATCCCAAGTTAACAGACCACCATGAAATATCTGCCGAGGCATCTGCGGCTTCAAATGCTTTACTGAGACCAGTGTAGATGCTGGACATCCTGCCATCGGAAATATTACAATTAAACTGAGACGTTCGTCATAGTGATAATTTAAACTGATTCATTACTTACATTACTTACTCGTTACTTGCACATCCTGTATTGCGCATAAAAATCACGTAATCAGGCTTAACTTTAAAATCCCTTACATGTAATTCCAGCGATCGCAATTGTACTGTGAACCAATGAAACGGCGCGCGTGATCAGGACCACTACGGGCATAATTGGGGTTAGATAGGCCTATCATAATTATCTCACAAGCAAGCACGGCGACATCGTTTTCATTGTAGTTTTTGAAAAAGACATTGGCAAGGAACATCTAAAAAAAGTTAAAAAAAATTTTTTTTTCTTTTTTTTTTTCTTAGGAATCACCATAATTTATCCCGCTCGCCTCGGACAAGATCGATTCCATGCGCAACCAATTGAATATGACGGGAGGTTTACGGTCAACTCGCCAGCTCAACAAACTCGCCACCGCTGAGAATTAAAACGCTACCGGTGGTGATTTGACTCGGACGTTCCCTGTAACCTCTTTTACGAAACTTTCGTCAAATGAAAGCTTAGCTGTAGTAGTATATTGCGAAATTAGAACCGCGGACATATACAGTTTATGGGACTTGGACTTTTATGTAGCGTCTTAATTACAAAAAGTTAACCTTTCATATGAAATAAAACATGTTGATAACACGAAGATTTTGATCATGTTGCGTAACGTGAAACCAAAGTGATTTTTCACCCTGAGTTTTGCCGATGTTTATGAAATTTGATAAAACTCGCATCAATTATGAAAGGTACGATGTAATTGTACATTGTGAAATTAAAAGTGGACTTGGCGTCCTAATTTTGCGTTAACCACATAGACTATCGACGTGACCTTTTCGCAATCAAATCTAATGAAACTTATAACATGAATGCTGAGATCTGTAATTTTATCTCTTTACCGGTTTTTCTTGGACGAAGATCGTAAACGAGTCAATTCGCTGACGGTGGCGATTTGACTCTCATTGGTGGCGAGTTAACCGGATACGTTCGAACGGTAATTTACATGAACTTGTTATTAGTGGTCTCTAATCATAGTTTTGGATGAAATAAATTTCATTTGACCTGCGGGTGAAAATCAAGCAAAACAATGGTCCTCGTAGATGAGCTGCAAAACCTTCGCAAGTTTTTCGTGTTTCGCGAAAAAAAAATCACGTCTTGAGTGCGTTTTTGCTTTCGTTTTTTCTACAACTGAGACAATAAGATCGTTTGTACCATAAAAGGTGGGAATTTTTCTCCTACGCGACCATCTCCCTCAGGCGACCACTTTTGTCGGCACTAATGGTGGTTGTTTAAGAAGAGAGTTGAATACATTATCATAATCAAGTGTTAAAAAGGCACACACCTGTTGAAATGCGGTGACAGCGACAACTGCTGAGAGTAGTTCAGGAGGGTCTGTTTAAAGAAGTTCTTTCGCTCCTCTTCTGACTGCTGACATTTGTCGAACGTGTAGCGCATGTCCTCTACATACTTGGGGTTATAATTTCCAATATCTCTCAGACTATCCTGATATTTGCCTCTTGTGGTCTGAACATCATTTGCAGCTTTATCTGATTTATCCTTCAGCTTCTTCACTTGTTCCTCTGTGACTGTACTTCCCTCCACACAGGCTTCCTTGTAAAGCTTCTCAGACTGATCTCTGACCTTACAGGCCTGGTAGTATGCCCGTTTGCATTTCAACACTGTTAGATAAAAAATCAATTTAAGTCCACAGCATTTTTATCATTTAACTCCCATGAATGACCAAGACAGAATATCTTCTTAAGATATCACTACAATATCAAGCAGACAAGAGAAGAGAATAAAGAAAACATAAATTTGGGGATTATTAGTAGATCCAATACCAAATTCTCCAAAGTAACATCATAAGAATTGTATGGCAGACAGTAAGGAGAATTTCTAATGAGATCTTTGGGGTGAAATAGTTAATATTGGAGGGCAGGTGGAGCAAAGGTAATGACAGGTGAGGACAGTAACTGCCTCGGCAGCAAGTAGGTCTCCATGGCAACCTCCTGTCGACACAATTCAGACAAACTGATGCATGAAACAAACACTAAACCAAAAAGTGGAATGCAGGAAGTGAAATGAAGGAAGGAAAATTGCAGAGCTAATTGAGCAAAAGCACATGGCAATATCACTACAAAGTTCTCTACAGTTACCACATTACATTGGTGAAACCTCTATGATGACTTGGATTTGGCATCACCTTAATAATAATTAACTTAACTTTGTACATGTACATAGCTGAGAATCCAAGTGAGAAGTCAAGGAAAAGCTATAAGCTGTAAGGGATGGGATGTCATGAAACTTTGGTGATAAGACTCAGAGGTCCTATTAACTAGTAAAGAATGAATGTTTTCCATTGTACATGGAATTTTAAAAAATTAATTCTCCAGCCTAAATATCCATTGTTCACAGTTTGTACTCTTCATGTAGCAACATCATTTGATCAGGTGTATATGTTGTGGTTCAATTTTACCCTTGGTTCAAATTTTATTTTCTTTTGTTTTTGGGTATTTTAATGTATGATAATGAGTTTGAAAAAGGAAAATAAAATTTGAACCAAGGATAAAATTGAACTACGACATATATCTAAGTAAATGAAATATAAATAAGTTTAACAGTCCATTTATAGTCAATTTAATGATTACCTTCATCATTTCTCTTGGCCCAAGGTTTCTGAGCTTTACTAAAACCTTCCTCTGCAGTTTTGGTTTCTTTCCAGCTAAGTAAGGCCTTGTGATAATTTGACGACTTCCATTGTTGGACACCTCCATTAACTTGCCCAACTCTGACTTGAAGTTCATTGTGAATTTCTGCCAACTGATCAGCTTCATTAGTGATGTTCAGCCAGGAAACTTTAACTGATCCATATTCTGTACTTTTAGTGATCAAATCTTTCCATTTTTTACTCCAACCTAAATATCGGAGGAAATACTGTAAGGAATACTACATGTGCAATTCCTAAAACAAAAATTTATGTAAAATTTTAGTTGAATTATCAATCTTCTTATTTGATTAAGTGCCCAACCTGGTTTTCAAGCAACCATCTCCAAAAAGCACCCATCATGCAGGTAGGAAAAGTTGATAAGCATCTAACCTTGAAAAATTAGCTCCCACCCCTTCCTTCTCTCTCATTCCACCACCCCCCCCCCTCAAAAAAAAAAAAAGGAAAAAAAACCAACAACAACAACAAACAAACAAGCAAACAAAAAGAAACAAAACAAAAACAAAACAAAACAAACAAAAAAGCTGAAGTGCACAAGAGGAGTATTGACTATTATTTCTTTACTGGCAAACAATCTCTAAATTCACTGTCTATAGTACTGGTCTTAAAGTTTTGATATCATTTATTGTTTTGTTGCAAGAAAAACTAATACTACTTGCTGATTAAACGGTGAGAACTTAATAAGCTCCCAGCCGTGAATAAGTGCCTTCTCTCAAACTGCAGGAATTTAATAAGTGCATGAGGAGCTTAATCAAATAAACACTGTAGATTATTCCAATTGTTGATAGCTGTTTTAAATAATGTTAACCATCAATCGATAAAATAGAATTTAAATTGTTGTTGAGAACATAAAATATAAAAAATTACATGAGTACCTCTCTCATGTTCTGGTTTATTGTCACATATGACGATTTGCGTGAGTTGTAGTTTATCACAATAACGGAAACTTTCAACACTTCCAACAGCTTCCAGCTGAAGACAACAAGATCACACTGTGCACCTGCTCACAGAACTATACTGAGTATACATCCCCCGTGTGGGCGGTATTAATGCAAATTTCTAAAGAGAGCTCCTAACTCCTGGTCGCCAACCTTTTAAGACCAGAGGAGCTCATTAAATTATTGTTGATTACTCCCAATGCCTTATTATTCCAACTGTTAAATTCAGGGATTAATGAACTTTCGGTAAAGGTATGCAAAACTTAATTGAAAATATAATGCACCATTTCATCGTCAAATATATTTAATTATTAATAAACTGTGAATACACAAGACCTTGAACAACGTATTAACAAAATGAATGAAATATTGACCGCAAAATTTTATTCAACGCCTCAGGCCACAACAACCTGAAAAAGGAACACATTTAGGTACTCCACAAAACTGCTCCCAATTTGTCCATTTTCCAATAGTCTGTTGCTATGTTAAGAATCAACGAACTTAAGTTGTTACAGATCGTAAAAAGATACCTTGTAATTTTGAGGCATACAGTCCTTCGATTTCTGCCCTTTCCACCAAAAGTTTCGAAAGATCATCACAAAGTTTGGCACCGTCATCGATTCGCTTCACAGTTCTCTTGTAACTGTTCACATCCCAAAAATTAAAACCTGAAAGTGGCACAGCAGAAGAGTTTGCTCCCACGGAATTTTCATCGACTTTCAGGTTGGTATCTGTACTACGATCTTCGATGTGTTGTATTTGGGGGTACAATTTATCTTCCGTCGTCTCGTTGGGAATATCTGTTCCTGGTTGGGTAACTTCTTCATTTCCATCTTCCATTTCGGAACCTTACGATCAAACAGTTATTACTGAAAATATTTGCAGTCGGTTGTCAACATTTAAAGCCTACAATCGAAAACAATTCGGTTTCCAAGGTTCAGAGAGGGAACCAGTTGGAACGTTTATTATCAAAGCTGTCTGAGCCCACGAACACAACGCTTGGCAGCCTCGCCGAGACACTTCTGAAGCAAGATGGCGGAGAAAGGGGATTTTAGAGGTTATCCATCGGTATAAATTTCAGATCGTTACATAACCCTTAGGCAACAGATGGGTTATCTCACTAAGCCTTTTTGAAAGTATCCGAAAGATTAATTTTTTTTATTAGTTATATTACGTTCTGAAACAGCGACCGAAGGCAAATTCGAATCATTCATCAGATGACGTCACTCGGTGATACATTGCGGATGTTTCCTTACCATGGCGGTAACTACGCTTGATAAGTCAAATATCGAAATATCGTATCATCGAATGTTCAAATAACTGGTATATTATAGTCTTTTAGGGATTTTAGTTTGTAGTATAATCGCAATGAATACCAATATTTTCTTAAATGAAATTGGCACTTGATCAAAGAAGTCAAATTATACCAAATTCACGAAGTCCAAGAAGGAGCCGATCATTCTTAATTTACGTCAAATCCCTTGGTAAACAATGAATACTGAAGAACTGGAACTGCTCTCTGACTCCAAGTACCGTCAATTTATCAATGCTGTCGAAAAGGCACTGAGGAGCTTCGAATATTCGAGCGAGTGGGCAGATCTTATTTCTGCTCTTGGAAAGTTAAACAAGGTACATTTAACCTTTTCACCTCTAGATGTATTATTATTCGCTTTGAAAACAAATGCAGGTCCTCTGTATCATTGTAATTCTTGATTTTGATTGTCCGTGAATATATTTGCAAATAATTGGTTGTTGATACCAGCATGTGAGATTCATGATCAGTGTTGAGTAATTTTTTTTGAAGTATATCAAGAGGAATGTATCACTTTGTTTTAAATTTATTAGTCAATCACATTTAATGTTTTAATGTTGTCAACTTTTGCACTAACAAAGGAAATCTGTTAGAAGATCTAAGCCCGAATGACAATTATTTTTTTGACTGCCATTTATCATGCAGTAAAATACTAGGAGCAACTGCAGAATACCTGGCCACTCATTTACATGTCATTGAATAAGAATAGCGTCTATTGTGTTACGCCTTGATCTTCAAAGCCTCCCGACACATGTAAGTGAGGTGGACCAAAGTGGCCGGGTAATCTGCAGTTTAGCTAAATACTATTTAACAGAGTTAATAACAAAGAGTATTAGCATTTTCTAGTAGTCAGGAGTTTTTCGCATATGTGCACATGTTGGAATTTCATGTGCTGCCATGTGCTTTGATAATGGAAGACTCCCAGCCATAGATGTTTCAGCTGCCAATAATGGAAGCCAAGGCATCCAACCTCCAATTAGCAATGTAGTTGTTAAAATTTTGTATCAAACAGCTAAAATTCCAGGCAAAATAATGGGTGAAATTTATACGATGATACTGACACAGAATGTGACATTTGAATGCCATGTAAATATTTCAGTGGTCTGCTACTTGAAAAATGTCATAATAGACCTAGTTTGTATGTTCTGTTTACCCATTTTTCAGTCTCAAGGGAATTCCCAGCTTTATCTTTAGTAAATTATGCACACATATACATGTGAATAAGTGAACATTTGAAAGGAACAGTTCTCTAGTGTATAATATCACATGACCTGAAATGGGTTTACAAGACATGCAAGCTAAAGAGGTCTATTGATACAACACTGCATTTGGCTTATTATTAGTCATACAAAAAGTACAGTGTCCAAGAAACTTTGATCACTGAATGTTTAAAACACACATTTTGAATATTACATCATCATGTGAGTTCCATAGTTGCTCTACTCTTTGACCCTTAACCCTTTCCTTACTATCTACCATACAATTCTTATGATGTTAGTTCAGAGAATTTGGTATTGGATCAACTAATAATCCCATGATTGACATTCTTCTCTATTCTCATCACCTACCTGCTTGATATTGTATTGATATTTTAAGGAGAAATTCTGTTTTGGTCACTTGTGGGAATGAAAGGGTCAAAAGTGAATAGCATCTAATCTCTTCGTACAATATCACCCCTTAAAGTCACAAAAATAAAGAAAACAATCAACTGGAGAAGCTCCAGATTGTTAAACAAATTCTCCTTATCAGCACCTTTGGAAATGTATAGAGAACAGTATGGAGAATATGCATATTTATAGTAGCATCAAAGGGTTAATGCACACGAAATAAAGCACATCTTGATCACTTGCCTTTTATTTAAAACACTAAATCTTGTTTTGTTTTAGGTATTACAAAATCACACAAAATTCAAAGTATTGCCAAGAAAGCTCACCATTGGAAAAAGACTTGCTCAATGCATGCATCCCACTCTACCAAGTGGCGTGCATCTTAAAGCACTGGAAACATATGAACTCATCTTCAAACGCATTGGTCACAAAGGTCTGGCACAAGATTTATTCATTTATAGTGCTGGACTTTTTCCCTTACTGGGAAATGCTGCCATGTCAACTAGGCCGGTTTTGATGAACATGTATGAGAATTACTTCCTTCCTCTTGGTAAAGCCTTGCTTCCAGGACTGTCTGGGCTTCTGTTGGGTCTTTTGCCAGGAATTGAAGAAGGATCTGAATATACTGACAGGTTTGTCAATGGATAATCAAGGTTTTATTTAATTTTTTAATGTTCATTGGCCACTTTAAGGAGTTTTTCAAGCTGTTGTCTTTAGCATCAGCCTTCACTTTGCTGTAAGAAATATTTCAGAAACATGTTTAGCCATAATGAAAATTATATCCCCCAGGTTGGAAACTCAGTGATCCAAGTGTGTTAAGGTTAGAAATTTATCTGTAATTAACAGATGTGCTGGTGATGGTGATGCAAAGTTCAATTAGTTTGCAGTGAATTTCCTTGTTATTGGACATTATGTGTATGTGACCTTAATGGGTACAAAAAAATAAATGTATTAAACAGTTTTTCTGGGTTTGATAGAAACATTTGATGTAAACTAATATGCAATATACTGGTTAACCCTTTACATGCTTACATCAGTATGCAAATTTTCCACACAGTTCTTTACACATTTCCCAAGGTGCCAACAAGGATAATTTTTTTGCCAATCAAAATATTCCTTCCCTGGTGACCTTTTCTTTTATTCTGGTGACCTTAATGTGTAATTCAGGAGTGATATTGTAGTCAGAAATTAGATGTTAGTCACTCTTAGGGTTTAAAGCATTAATCTCTTTTTTTTTTTTTTTTTCCAACTAGGACTATTTCACTCCTAGGGTCCTTCAGTGAGAACACAGACAAGAATATTTTCTACACTACTCTCTGGGGATGTGTTTATTCATCAGCAAGTATCCGCCTGCCTGCTGTCACTTTTATAATGACGCGGCTGAATAAGAAGGGAGCAGGAAAGCAAAAGTATATCTTAGGAAATGATATACCACTCTTGGTAAGTATCTTTCAATGTCAAAGCTGCATTTTTTTTTTTGGAATTTATTTTCTCACCAAAGTTAATGAGTGGGCCTCCCAGTATGGGGTGAGTTTGGCACCCTACTTGACTCATGTAAAATAGCCCAGCTGGTATTTTAACCTTGCCTTGATTGTCCAATTTTGAGCTTGACCGCCATGCTAAAGGCAGTAAAATTTTATATATTTCATTACATTATTCAGTTGAAAAGTTAAGGCTGGTTACTGGACCCTTTAGACCCTTGCATTAGTATGGATATTCTCCATACATTAATTTCCTTTGGTACTGGAAAGGAGAATTTGTTTAATAATGCAGTTTTCTAATGTTGGGGACCATTTCCCATATTCTCATGATTTTAAGGAATAATTAGCAATATTATGTAAGGAGAAATTAGCTTCTGGTCACTTTTAGGGTTCAAAGTGTTAAACAAAGTCTGGTACATCTAGTTGCTTTGTAAATTTTTGCTCCAACCTATAACTTAGTCAAACGCTTTTGGTAAATAGTGGTTTTTCGTGAACAGTTTCTTGACAGTTCTGTTAAGAATTCTTTGCTTCACTGGTTGTCTAAACTGCGATAGACTCCGTTTGAATAAGTTGCTCTGAGATTCATTTCAGAAATACTAATCCTTTCACTGATTCTTTAACACGACAGGTGCAAGCAGTCAGCGCTGCATTAAGAGACAACAGTCTCCTAGTCCAGCGGAATATGCTTGATTTTCTTCTACTTTTTCTTCCGGTGGACACAACGTATCTTTCGTCCAACGAAAAAGTGACGCTTGTGGCTTCCGGTTTAGAGGTGTTGTTACGACGAGACATGTCGTTAAATAGGCGTCTGTACACGTGGCTTTTAGGAACAAACTCAGCCAAGACTGAATCTGCATCCAGAACTGATAGTGTTTGCAGTAACGATGCGGATCCTGAAGAACCCCAAGAGACATTCTTCAGCATGCATTCGAGGCCGCTTGTGATCGAAGGTGTGCGAAAGATTTTCCAAACTCAAACGAGTATCGATAGAGAAGCCACAAATGGAGCTAAAAAATTGCAAAGACTACAAGTGCTGAAACCGTTTCGAATGTTAATCAGTCTTTTGGACAAACCTGAAATTGGCGGATCTATCTTAGAAGATGTTTTACTTGATGTTTTTAGAGCGTTGTATAGTCAATGTAAAGTTCTCAAAGAAAATGGCGCTGCATTTGAAGAGACTGATCGAAAAGATTCTTTTGACAATGTAGCTGTTGAAAGTGGCGTGGCTAGAACCGATTCTGCAAAGACAAAGCTTATTGATGAACTGATCAAAACTGCAAACTTACTCTTCAACGCCTTTGAGCCTTACTTTATGTGGGAATATATCGCAAAGTTGCTCTCTGACTGCGACAAATCATCGGAAGCTGGCAGCAAAGACTGCAACGGCAAGGGGTGTGAATTTACTGCAAAAGTATCAGTCACAAGCTGGTCTGAAGTGTTTCGTTTGACGGATTTCATTTTAGATGTTGTTACTCTGGTAAGTAGGATGCTGATTTTGAAAGCGGTATGAATTTGTTTTTTATAAACTTTTGCGCCATAACTCAACGGTATTGCTGGGACAAGAAACGAAA